GGGGGGGGGGCACGTGCCCCCTGGGGCCTCTACTGAGATGTGCACAGTGGCAGGAGCCCCCCGCCCCTGCTATGCCTCTGGATGAGCTGCCCAGGTTCCATCCTCCCACCACCCACCCGGCTGGGGCCCCACTCACCCCACCCTACCTCTGCTTCTACGGCGCACTGTCCCTCACTGCGGGGGCCTCGATCTGGCCCCCTACATCTTCCCTCCCCCATGGACTGACCTGCTGGGCTGGAGATTGGGTGCGTGCATGTATGCACAAGTATGCTTAGCTCCCCCAGCCTCAGATCGACTCCAAAAGGCTTCAAGATCAGTTAGTGACCCCTGCTCTAGAACACCAAGGCTTAGTTCACATCTTCCATCAAGCAGAAGCTAAAATGAAGGAGGCCAGCTTACAAAACAGAAGAGACTCCCTCTGTGCACCAAGCCCTGGCAGCTCAGTCTGTTGCGACTGCATTTTACCGTGTCTGAAATACCCTGCTGCGTTCTCCAGGAACAGATTTGTGAGAATTCCTTCAAGCTATGTTTTAATCCAAGCAAAACAGAAACAAACCCCAGAGTAAAGTCAATATTTATAATGACACCTACTATTTAATAGCAACAATTGACAATCTGTAAAAGTAGCCTGAATTTCTAGTATAAAGAAGGAAGGGCTAACAGCCTTGAAACAGCCCAATCAATACCAAGCTCAGTTTCAAGTATTTACTCTTAGCCAAAGTTGTCCATTTTATCAGATGCGGCTATAAGGCGGCTTGTCCCCTGCAGAAGACACTGTGGTACAGGCTGTCTATACCTGTAGCTACACACTGCTGTTTTCAGGAGATGATATTGATCCAAGGAAGTTTTGGAGGCTGATCTGTTCTGTACAGGCAAGATGAATTGCTTAGCTTGTATTAACAACATCTTAAATAATCGGTGAGCTTAACAAGCATAAGATAATTGAGCAGTGACAACTTCCCAGGTGTTCAGAGTCGGCTTTGCATTTGGCACCTAAAGATTCTCTTTGATAGCAGGCTGGTTTCTCTCTCATGGTTAGCATTATCATTGCTGATGCTCCTGAGGCTGCAGAAACAATTACTGAAGGATCTGTTCTATCTGAAAAGCAAATCTGAAACTATGGAAAGCAGCAGAAGCCCTTCCCCCAGCAAGTAAGTAGGGCACCTTAAATGAGGGGCATTTGGGGCAGTATTTGACACAGGTTACAACTGCAATAGCAGGATAATGCAATGTGCTATTAGCATAAATCTATTTCATGGGTGGCATTAAGGGCTCCAGTCCCCTGAGCCTATGATATTTCTGTGCCTGTGCGTCTGTTCTAAGCTTGAGGCACAGGGTGTTATTTTCCATCCGTACAGCTTTGCAGAATTGCATGAAATGTGGAGATAAAATGCTTAGGAGTGTAGGGGTGGTGTACAGAATGTGGAGAACTGGCTCCAGTTGTGATTACGAAGTCTCTCAGCTGCAGGAGCCACATATAACTTTTTTGTTTTCATACTGTTGCTGTTGGAATTGATCAAAAATGCCTCATGAGGAATTTTAAATGACCTGACAAGAAAGTGAGGTCCCCTCCCAAAGGGATTAGAATAAAATACTATGCAACTCCTCTGAAAACCTGAAAGATTCAAATGGAGACTTACATGGTCTCCAGTCAAGGCTCTGACCCTTCCCAAAGCATCCTACGATAGGAAAGGAGGTTCTGTGGGATTCTGTAGAAAGGTCAAAATAAAGTCTGTATACCAAAGCTCATCCTCTAGCATCTCTGACTTCTCCATAACAGATAACATACGTGCATTAGACAGTAGCATGTGAGAACCCTTGGGGCCAAACCCTTAGTACATTGACTTGGAAACACAAAGCCCAACATAAACCCTGACAGTAGGAGAACAGGAAACCTCTATTTGAGGGAAAACAAGAGAATATCTGAACCCAATGTCCCATTACAGCAAGGACGTGGCTAATCCAATGAATCTCCACTGCTCCCCATGCAGCAGGTATTGGGGAGTGGCATCAGCTGAACTCCATGAATGCCACGGTGCATCTTACACTGCTTGAGAAGATGCTTAGTTCTGGCAGGACATTGGCCTTTGCTGGGAGAATCATAAAGAATAGAATCGTAGAGAAGCAGGGCTGGCAGAGAGCTCCATTGTTTCATAGTTAGTAGGCTCGGAAGGGACCTGAGCAGATCATCAAGTCCGACCCCCTGCCATGGGCAGGAAAGAGTGCTGGGGTCAAACGACCCCAGCTAGGTGATTATCTAGCCTCCTTCTGAAGACCCCCAGGGTAGCAGAGTGCACCACTTCTCTTGGTCGTTGGTTCCAGATCCTAGCCGCCCTGACCGTGAAGTAGCGCCTCCGATGCCCAGCCTAAATCTACTCTCAGTCAACTTATGGCCGTTATTCCTTGTTACTCCCAGTAACAATCAAGTTCCAATCCACCAGATTCCTCCTAATTCCTTCACCCCACAGAAGTTAACAGCCCTCTCTCCTATGATCTGGATCTTCCATTCATCAAACTACCTTTTGTTCTACAGCTCTGCTGTCTGCAAGCTGCTCCTGGTCATGCAGTTAGACGAACCCCCAACTGAGGCAGGATCATCCCTATCCAAACCATCCTATACAAATCCATTGTATAACCCCTTAGCAAAACTATAGAGTCAACTCTAACACAAGATGTAACACCCTAATCTGCAGTAGGTAAAGCAGAGGGTCCACAGTGGCCAATGTCCTGCTTCTGTAGAGGTTGTTAATATATGCTCAAAAAATCCCAGGAAGAGGGCCACAACCCCTGCTATAGAGAAAGGCAAACCCCCCCACAATCCATACCAACCTGACCATGGGGTAAAATTCCCTCATGCCCCCAAATATGGCAACTGGTCTGACCCTCAGCAGATGGGCAAGACCCTTTAGCCAGGAACATGTGGATTTAAGTTCCAGCAGGAACACTGGCATGCCCTAGTCAAAATCCCCAGCCTTGACTGCAGCCAACACCCAATGCTTCTGAGGAAGGTGGGGAAAGGGGAGGAATTTCCTCCCATACAGCAACCAGCAAAGCCCAGAAGCATGGGAAATACCCACAGCAGAACACACGCATAGCTACGCTTAGAACATCCTTCTTCTTGAACACCTCCAGTGATGGAGAGTCCACTACTCTGCCATGGGCACCCTGATGCATGCTCTCTGGACCAGGAGCTGAAGCCAGGGTCAAATGCACAAGAACTCTTAGGTGATGACCTTCCTGGCTGCTGCATTGGCCCCCACTCCTGTCTGGTTGGCACATGAAGGCAGTTTATGTAAGGAGCTGATTATAAGAGTTAAAGAAGTTCCAGGCCTGGCAAAACCTTTGGTTTCTGCCCTGAGCTGTGGCACCAAAGCACAGAACTAGCAAGAGGCAGTGCATTTGCAAAAGTGGCTTAAAACCCCACTTGTGCCCACCTGCTCCTGGGCAGCTGCCTGCCAGTTCAGTCTCCTGCCACTAAAGCAGCCTGAAGGGTGCTTTAATAGGCTGTCCTGGCTTCTGGGCGTCCTCAGGGTGCAGAGAAGCCCTGCCCACACCCCTTCCCTTGGCTCTGCCAGCTTCAGGGAGAGGCACAGCCCATGCTTGGTTAAACTGAAGATTGAAACCTGTACATTCCACCCTCAGGGAGGCTCCCAGGCTGCAGAACTATACTGGACAAAGTGGCTATAGCCTGTATATTTTAGGTTGCAACCATGTTCTTCTGCGTTCTCCTGCCTGAACAGCTTTTGCCTGCCTGCAGAAGGGCTGGAAGATGCTGGCTCTCAAGCGGTTGGCATCTCGATTCATTGGGAGCACATTGTTTCATGCTGTCCTTACAAGGCAGTGGCAGATGGATGCTGTATAAATACAACTATTTATTATTCTATCATCATTAGGGACTCCTGATGGGAAACCCTGCAGGAGCCACCAGGATTACAGAGCAACCATCCAGTCATTCTGGTGACATCCACTCTGGGCAGGGAAAGCCAAACAACCAAAGATAATAACTTGGCACTAAAATGGCAAAGTTATCCCGTGCCCACATGGCACAGGCACCAAAGCAGCTCCCCATCCTCACAGTGCCCTGCTGTGCTGGCGAAGGTCCCTTTGGGGCAGTCGCCTAACTGTGCCTGCTCCAGCCACATAGTACTCCAAGTCTCACTTTCTGTTAAAAAATAAAAAGATACCAGCTCAGGGTTTTCTGTACATAGCAATTATAACCAGAAAAAGGAGCAGAGGAAGGGCCAGGTGGTACTGCAGGTTAATGGGACCTGGGTTCAAGTCTGCTACGATAATAGGGGAAAAGGAATTGGTAGCCTCAGTCCAGCCTGTAATGGATATTTCTCTGCACTGTAAAAGCCCCACACAGTACAACTGGTAGCACTGGCCAAGGTTGAAGTAGCTGAAGCTGACAGTCAGAGGGATTCACAGCAGCTCCCAGTAGAGCTGGTTGCAAGTACTTCATTGAAATGCTCTTCTGGTGACAAATGCTCTTTTTGTCATGATAGGAATATTTTGAAACCTGTGTTTGATTTTTGGCACCACTTTGCTGAGGCACTGTTTATTCAGCCCACTTCAATATTTTTGGTATGGGATTGTTTCAAGGGCAAAACTTTAACTCAAGTCACTGTTTTTTATAAGCAAAGTTTTAAAAAGTGAAGGTGCGGTCAATGCTGTAATAGCAGGCTTTTGCCTGAGTGACAGGTAAGGTTTCAATGAGGCTGACATGATTTTTTTTTTTTTTTGAAACGCTGCTTTATGGGAAATTTAAAATGTTTCATGTTTCTTTTCCTCCTTGTCTGGAATAGAAAAAAAATTGAAATATTGGAGAAAAATATTTCCTTCCACCCCCAGCTACAGGCAGTATTCTCATAAGATCAGAAGGCACAAAAATATTTAAAAGTAAACTGGAGAAGGGAGAAAAAAAACAGTGGCTTTTAAATTTTATTTCCCTTGATGTGTAAAAGAACTCTAAGCCCCTCCCTAGATTGTTTTTTTTCCCCATTAAAAAACCATTAGAAATTCAGGTCCTGTCTACTCTAAGCAGAGTTTTGAACAACTAGAGAAGAAAAAAGTTCATATTATAGTTGTGAAGCAAGTATAACCTGATTGGTTGGCAGGAGAAATGATTTCTAATCAGAGCTATTTAGAACGCTTGAGGTTTTGGTTTTTAAACATGTATTTAATTCAAGTGTCTAGCAAACATTTGTGAGAAGGGCTCTTTTTGCTAAAGATTCTATGTTCTTTCAAATAAGGGCTGAAAAAAAACCTCCCAATCTTGGTTTTACACATTCTCTAACCAGACCTAGGTATAACAAGACTCAATATTCTTGAGGTTTCCAAGTAAAAAACACAAGCAGGATGAAAACTTAAAGATCAGAACACAACCAGCAGTTTCCAGAGCCTCTGTAGATTAGAAAGTAGTACAAATCCAAAGGAGAAAGCCTGATCACTGTTATATGAAGAAGTCTTTTTCCTTTAGAAAATCCAAATACACAGCTGCCTGATAAGCAAGCATATTATCAGTCCTTGGGACTCCAAAAAATTGCTGCTTTTCTTTATCTGGATAAAATATTTCAGTCACTTACAGTAAATGATTCAGAAGCAAGCAGAGTACTAGGTGTAATATATGTTTGAAAATGTACACACTCATTAGCTGAGAAATTAGCATGGGCCAAGAAATGAGCTGAAAATATACCCACAAATGCTTGTGCTTTTAGTAACGAAACTACTGGCTCACTTGCCTTGGAGAGAGATTTTGCTTGGACCAGCAGTTTATTCAATAGTTTATTTAAGCCTGAACCAGCAACATTCATGCAGTTGTCCTGAATTACTTCTTAAATCTCAGTGAAATTACAGCTGCTTTCATCTTAATTCCTGAATAATGGTATTTATAGAGCCAAGAAGTTCCTTAAAATATCCATCTTTGTCACCTTCCCTTTGTTCTTCAGCCGCCAGTTCCTCATACTCGCTGCGCAACATGCTTAGTGTGATGTTGAGGCGCTGGTCCCCACGGTATCGATCCTTGCAGAAGGTCATCAGAACACTCACCGTTTTTAGGACTTTCTCTCTCGTGTCATGCTCCGGCAGTGCCAGGAGGTTGGAAACAATGGCACACCAGTCCTGTTCTACCACAGCGGGCACCAGCTTTACTTGGCTGTACTGCTGGACTTTCTCTTCCATTTGGTCTTCATTGTTCTGGGCACCCTCAAGCAACATCTGTGAGAAAGCATGTTACATTGATTATTAGTATCCTAGTACAACTGACACTTTTAATAATTGCTCTCAGTAGATTTTATATACTGTTGAGCAACATAAAGTAGATTTCCCTGTAATGCATGTTAATTATTAGCATGTTTTGAATATTTGTAAACTTTCCTGCTATCCATTGAATTAAATTTTGCCCACATATTTGGATATTAGCTTTTAGATTATTTGGGTGTCTTGTACAAACTGAAACTACAAAAGGGAAAGTCAAGGATCACTTAAATCATGCAAAGATTAAGCATAGTTAAAGATTTCTGCTCATAACAGACAGTTTATAGTAGTGTTTCAAACTGTGAAACATTTTTATAATTTTGCAAATTATTACATATGGTTTTCTGTTGTTTTAAATCAGCACATTTAACTTTAAGTATATTTAACATGTTTCTTATCATTAACTATGATATCAACCACCCTGGATTAATGACATGTCTCATGGAAAGAAATCAATCAGTTTGCCTAGACATTTTTTCTAAATCATCTTACATATCACAATACTACCTCTTAAAAATTGCCTCTTATTTTATTGTATTTGATTTTCCTTGCATCATTGGATGACTACATGAAGTAAATGCAATTTTGGAATGCTTAAGGTGCATGTGGAATTCTATTATTTCTTATGAATATGCACAAAGTCACATAGAAAGGTATAAGACGTTCAAACTGCAATTGCTGTCATTTTCCATTTATTTTCCAGCAAATCTTTAAGAGCTGACAAAAACTGCAGTAGCAACTTGCAGTCACTTATAGCACCATATTATGACCAGAAATTATGCTACCTATTTATTTTTAAATTGTTTTTTCCTGTTCCATTTACTAATATAGTCTGCTCATTTGCATAATTTTGTTGGAAAAATGCTGTACAAATAACTGGAATCTATTGTATTATTATCCAGGGGTGAATCCATATACCCCCTAATATCTGATTTGCAAGGTCATCTGCAAAGGAAATATACATATGAAAGGATTCATGCCCTATTTTGTTTCTTTATGATACATAAAGGTGGCTTGAAAAATCTGTGTGCTTTGATTTTATATTTTAGAAATTCTAGCTGTGTCTAGCCTGGAAAACTCTTAGACGACTGGAGGATTACTGTGATATTATGACATCATGGGCAACAAATATCTAACAGAAAGGGGAAGACAGTTTAGGTGATGATGTTTAAAATGCTGGTTTTTGTTTTGTTTCATAACTGCCATGTAACTCTGTTCCTATTGAACATTTTTGTTGTGCCATCACTTCGGGAATGTTACCAGACCATAGGCTCTGGGCACTACCCGTTTCATATCAGCTTTAAATCAAAAGGTTCAGCCATCCTATTCTGTGTAGCTATAGGCACTTTCAAAAGCACCCCCACATGTAAGCCAAGATGCAGAGCCCAAGTGAAAGACCCAGTTCTAGCAGGCACATTGAAGGCTGCTGCAGTGGGGGTTGGCCTTGTTCAAATATACTGAGTTGCAGTGTTCACAGTGTGGGCGGCATATGTAGGAATCTGCATGTTCATTTATTGCTGGCTTTGATGCTAGCTGTTACCATTAAATGCTTGGCCCCGGCAGTGCCAGCAGGTGAATGCAAGAAGCTGTCGCTAACAGGAAATCCACGAATGCATCACCAACTAGAATGTGATCCGAAATGCATTTCAGTCTGCATGGCAGAAACAGCTGGTCCCTGCACAAAAAATTCCCGGATTGTCACAATGGGGTCTCTTTCCCTTTAAGAACTGTTCCTTTAGCTTGACTGGTGGCCTTCTGTGATAATTAGTATGTGTGCGCTTCATTAATTAGACCTGAATAGCACAAGTCTGTTTGCTAGGTTATTATCATTAAGGGAAGATTAGGGCTTCTACAGGTCTGATAAGCAAATCTACAGAAGAAAATGGATGGAAATAGTCAGTTACAAAGAAACACTGATGAAGGATAAGTTCTGCTAACAGGTAAATCCCCCCTCCCCCTCCCATCCTGGGGACCACTCCAACATCCTCAAGGTTCCCAATAACATTTTTTCTGACCTTTAGATAAGGGCCTATCGCTGCTTGGCAACTTATTTCTGATGGTCCCTTGGATGTTACTCAAGGCAAAAATCACTGCACTGTACTTATATGTTTGATTTACTGTATGTGTGGGGGAGGGGAAGAGAGGGAGGAGAAGAAATAAAACCTCCAACCAGATTTTTCCTTCCCAGAGGAAAGCCATTTCTGTCCCTTGTGCAAGTTTATGCTCATGCTGGCTGGATCGTTCATTCATTTGGGGTTAAACAGAAGAGTGAGGGCAGGGAAAGCATTCAGAACAGAACTACCTTTTCTTCTGCTTCAATCCACTCCACTGGCTAGCATGGCCAGCAGTTAAGTTTTGCTTCATTTTCTAAAAATACACAGAGTTGATTTTCAATCAGTCTCCCCCAAACCTAACCATTCTACAGCCCTGTGATATCACCACTTATTTAGGTTCATCCAGCCCCTTTGCTTTGCTATTACCGTATTTTCTCACATATAAACATACACTCAAATAAAAAACGCACCCTATTTTTGGAAGGCACCAAGAAAGATAAATCTTACCAAGGAGTACAGGTAAGTACCAGAGACCTGGGATCTCTGGGGTTGAGGGATGCATGCCAGAGCCCAGTCTGACATGGTGACTCTGGGGTTACACAGTGCAGTGGTGCCTGACTCAGCATAATGTGTAGGGGCTGTGTGTTGGCTCCAACCCCGCACACTGGCTCCAGGGCCATGCCCTGAGTTCGGGACAGTGCACTGGTTCTGGAAGCATGTGCTAGGTCTGGGACCTGTGGTGCTGTGTTCAGCTGCAATCCCAATCTGGCATATAGTTGGGAAGAGGCTCCCCAAGAATCTGGAAATTTGGTAGTGGGGGTGAGGTTGGGAGGGAGGGAACAGTAGCAACATTAAATTCCAGTGGCTCCCAGAGCCACAGCAAGTAATGCTGCTACCACTCCAAATTTCCAGACCTATGGGGAGCCCTTTTCCTTGCATATAATGCTTATCCCAAATTTTCCCAGGTAGTTTTGGAGAAACTGTGTGGGTTATGTGAAAAAAATAGTGTTTTTTTCCATTCTGCATTCAGGCCCAGCAAGAAGACCAATCCAATTTACATCCTAGGGAGTGTTCAGATCAGCAGGAGCATGCATTTCCCCAGACACAAGTAGCAGCAGCACACCTTGTGCCACTGCTTCTTGTCCCTGGGGTATGCTGATGCCACACACACTTTGGTGTGCAGGTTACACTACATGGGGTGGGGGAGGCTGGGACCAATAACTGTTCTGGCTCCAGCAGCCTTACCTGGAGTCCTGGGGCCTCCACGAGCTGCAGCTGCGGTACTCCTGCAGCAGAGAGCCTGGCCAGCAGCAAAAGCGTGGCTCCAGCCAGCCACGCTCTGGTTTTGGGTGCAATGTGCTGGCACCACATGAGCCGTCCCGCTTTTTTTCACCATGGGTTTTTTTGACCCCGGGTCAACCCCCACCCCAAATGCTGCAAAGTAGCAGTGCGGAGAATGCCTGCTTGTGCAGCGTGTGGTGCCGCAGATGGGTCTATGGGGCAGCTTACCACATGTCTGTGCTCATCTGGATGCGCCCCTGGAGACTGTCACAATCAAAAGGACAATGAACAACATGCTTTAATGCAGGGGTGGGCAATTATTTCGGGAGGAGGACCACTTACTGAGTTTTGGCAAGCCATTGAGGGCTGCATATCAGGCAGTCGGGGCAGATAAATATTAATTTTCTTATTTTTTTTAGGGGCTCCAAGGGCCAGATAGAATGGCCTGGCAGGCCACAACTGGCCCGTGGACCACATTTTGCCCACCCCTGCCTTAATGTAACACTTGGTATGCGTAGGGTCTGCTGACTGCCTCAAGTTAGAATGTATCTGGGAACAGATGGAGATGTTGAGGTAGAGTAGTTAAAACATGGGGTACAATTGTAGGGTTTCTGACAAGCTAAAAGCAAATGTTTGTGGCAGAAAAAAGTGCTAGTTATTTGTCCAATTGAATGAACAAGGTCATTTTACATTGGGCCCAATGTTTATGTTTTATAAAACCTCTGATCAAGAAAAGTGTTTCTGCTCTCATAAAAGTTCTTCTTCTGTGCCTGAAACCCAAACATTACAACAATAAAAACCCAGACCCAAAATTGACTAGAAACAGAAGTGAAAGTTGTGATTTAATTGATTTTCATTCTCTAAAGGAAGAGAAACGCATAAACAAACAGGTTAGCTAGTGGCTAGAAAATAAGATTTTTAAATTGATATTTACAGCAATAAGCTAAGGTGTTCCTAGATAAAACAGCTAAAGGTGTTTACCTGGTTATTATCCAAGATATACCAATAGCCAGTGACCTTTAAAACTTGAAGATTTACAAAAATCGGTAAGTACTCTGTTAATGCCTTGCGTTTAATTTAGTTTAGACCAGTGATTCTTAACCAGGGTGCCACAGCAACCTCGGACACCTGGAGATCCTTTCAAACATGCCTCAGGTTGCCATGCAATGCCAGTAGCGTTAGGCATGCAGACATGACTCACAAGATAAAACCACAGGGTGCCTGTAGATGTGCTGGGAGGCTGCTCCAATGTGCTATAATTACAATTACAGTGTATTGCCGGAGCGTGGTAATTACAGTGCTCCAGCAGCCTCCAGTGTCTTGTGTATCAGTGTCCCCACGCTTCAAAATGGCAGCAGGGGGTGCTTGAAGAGTTAGTTCAAGCGCTCCCACGACCATTTTGAAGTGCAGGAGTGCTGATATATGAGATGCTGTGGCGCTTTAATTGGAGTGGCTCTTGAAGCTGCTTTAATTAGAGCACCCCTCCCTCCACCCACCCTTGGAGCATGTGTAAAAGTGCTCATAGATTTCAAATAGGAACCCAGTGTTAAAAACATTCTGCCCTGTTGTGATCCTTCTGAGTTATCTCTAACATAAAAACTGCACTGTTATTTTTCTGTAGCCAAAAAATTAGCGAAAACAAAGCTGGAATTTTCTGAGGGGGACTTTGAGTTTATCAAGGGGTGCCTTGAGTACAAAAAGGTTAAGGATTGCTGGTTGAGATGATAAAAATCAGACTGATCAGTGTCACTTGGCTTCTAACACACTGCTGGGTAAGAACTACAGCAAGATATTCCTGGAAAAAAGAATGTTTAAAATAATTCTAGAGCAGCTCCACAATGTCCTCAGAAGTCAGGTCCCACACACTCAGCCCGTGCCATGCAACCCATACGGGGAATACCGAACCCAGTTCCACAGGGGCTTCCCCATGCTCCTGGAGGAGTGTGAGGGCAGAGCAGGCCACTAAATCTGCTGCCATGCTACCAGCTACTCCCACCCAACTCTTGTGGAAGGACAGCATTGCCTGCACCATGCCCAACTGCCCAGGCCTTGGTGAAGGGAACAAGACAGCCCCTTTGTGAAAATCTTAAGGACCTTCAGGAACTCCAGAAAGTATGTGACTCCAGATTACATTTCATCATTCCCATGTGTAGAGCTTACTCTTCACCTACTCCTATTGATATCCAGGGAATACTCTCCAGCTGTCTCTTACCTTTTCCATAATCAGATCATAGAGCAATGTCACAACTCGCACATAGAGCGCCTCCATGCCTTTTTCTTTGAAGAGATTTCTAAGTACTTGAAGGCCACCAAGCTTGAGGAACTGCTGCTGGGCATAGGGGAAGTGTCGCAGCATCGAAGACAAAGCAAAGAGAGCCTGACAAACACAAGAGTGAATCAGTCCCCTAGTCCAGTCACAGCTGCCATTTTCTTGCTCAGTAATCTGCATGCTGAAGAGCCCTAATGTTCTGGCTTCATTTTCTTTTGCGAACTATCACAAAAGGCAGCTGATTGAGGTTACATAATATGGGTGTAATTTAAATGCCCATCAACAGTCTCAATGACTTCTAATCAGGAAGGAAAAACATGACCATCTATGTTCATGCCTTGCTGCTCTGCAAACACTGGCCCACGTTAAATTTCAGCCTCTCCAAGGGACTGAGGTTTACATTTGATCCCCAACTCCCTGTAACTCTTGCTATAAAACATTTGTTTTCAAGGAGTTCAAAGGCTTAGTGCTTGAACCTGTAAGGTGCTGATCCCCCCACATTTCCCCTGAATACAGTGGTCATGCCAGGTGCTCAGCTCTCCTCACAAATCACAACCATGAAGCCCTCAAAGCAACAAAGGCCACTCCAATGACATTCTCTCCAATGCCAAGGAAGTACAGGATGTCATTGAGGCCTACACCATACTGTATATGGGTATCTGACCTAGGTGCAGGGTGTGGTGTCGTTTGGAATCTGCACAGACGCCTTTGCGAGGACCAGAATTTTTTTTAACTGGGATGCACAGTTGTTGTGTGATTAAAGAGGCCAGAGGAATCAGAACGTTACTACTAGCTTGTATAGTCCATGACACATCACCGTGCATCAGGTTCCTGATCTGTGACACAAGGGGCACGTGTAGATGAAATGGGGGGGGGCCTAAATTGAAGTGGTGGGTTTTACAAAACACTGCTTCAATTTAGGGCTGATTAAACCCGTGTCATGCACACACCATGCTTACCTACCTGCCTCTCCAGAAGGGAGGGGAGGGCAAGCTGCCGGCAGGTAGAGTGGTCTGTGGGTTTGGGGGAGGGGGCTGGTGCTTCCCTCCACAGCAGCTGCAGCCCCCCCCACCCCCCAGGCAGCACCCACCCACAGGCACCCAGCTTGGGCAGTCCCGGGAGGCACCGCAGCTACGGAGGGAAGCACTGGGCCCCCACGCAGCTCAGGTAGGCAGGCAGGATCTAGGCGGGGTGGGAAAATAAAGATCAGGCTTGCCGCTTTTCTTGGGTGGAGCCGCTTTCCTGGGCTGCTGTCAGGTTGCCTGCAGGGCTTCCTGCAGATCTGCACACAGCCCAGTGCTTCGCTCCATGGCTGTAGGGGCAGCAAACTAAAACTCCTCAAAGGAGTTTTAGTTTGTTGTGCTCCAAGTCATTTAAGGCACATTACACTGCTCAATTTCCTACAGCAGCTGGAATTAATACGAAATATGCCGCTAAGGTGTTCAAACATCAACACCATTAAAGCGGTGCAAAAGCATTTAGTGCATTTTAAAGTGTTTTGCACACACACCTCTCATTTCATCTACACACAGCCAAGGATAACAACACTAGCCTTTCCACAGGGTACTTGTGAGGCTGAATCCATCTTTACAAACTCAAAGGCCCCTGGGTGAGAAGAAGCATGGAAATGCTGAGGATTCACATCCTTTACATCACATATTGAGCAGAGCAGCCTCAGAGCATTTGGTGCAGATACAGACAGATGTTTCCTCCCCATCCTCAGCAGCTGTTTCAATCTACTATCCTGGGAGATAAACAAACATGGCCCTCAATACGACAGTGCACCACACAGGCATTTGGCGAACACAAGAGCTCTTGTGTACTGCATCTGAGATTGGCCATGGATGGACCCAAATAAGTAGGCAGGTATCCTCTGGGCCTGGAGCACATGCCCAGTACTAATTTGGGTGGAAGCAGATGCCAATGAACGCACTTTGAATCCTTCTTTGGGACTGATCTGCAGCCCAGCAAAATTTTACTTGTATTTGATTTAGTTCCTGCTCATACTAAACCTATCTGTGATATTTATATAGCAACAAAACTGCTGCAGTATTGAAGTGCTTGAACACAACACAAGAGAGGCAGCGTTTCAATGCAAGGCAGGCTCTGCTCTCACTGAGTTTGTATTTCGGGATTTTCTGTCTGGAATGTCTTTGGGGACAGGCGGTTTGTAATTTGTTAACATAACCCAAATCATATCAGTGGGTTATTTATTAAATGAACGTAAGAGGACACTTACTCATCACATAAACCAAACCCAAAGCCAAGGTCATTTCCCCACACTTGTCCCCTTTGAGGGATCTGCACTCTGGATCTTGAGCCCAGATGCCCAGAAAAAGCCTTTCCTAAGAAGTCTAACCCAGATTTAACAAAGATGACTGAGAATCGCATGGGATTTTCATTGCGGTTTGGCACCAGAATTGTGTCCCTCTTTGGACAGCTGAGCTCTGAACTGAGCATTTTCCCAGCCCTTCCCCCAAGACCTTTTGTGATGTGTCATATCAAACTCACTCCCCTCTCACTTGTTACACTCCTGTAAATATAGTGGGCAGGGATGGATTGAATACAGTGCCCAGAACAGAGCTCCTACCTACCTGGGATCTTAGGCCAGTGCCTTAACACACCTAGACAACTGCAACAACATGTGGCTCTGGCCTGAATGTCAGTGCCTTCATGCACACAAATGGCAAAGCTGAGTACAGAGGCAGGCAGTGGCCATATTATTGATTTCTAAACTCTCCTTCTATTTCCAAGCCTGGTTCCTAGACGAGCTAAGAAAGATGCTCAGACTGCAGTGATGCCCCTCAGGCCAGACTGCTGCTGCTGAAAACAGAACTATTACTGAGATTACTTATCTCAGAGCCTGCCAGCAATTTGAGCTACCTCCTTGGCAAGCACAGGTGGGACATACTTCTTGTGCTCTCCATGGGCAGATCTGAATAGGGAGTGAGATTTTTCCAATCCAGTTTGTTCTTATTTTACGTTCTCTTGATGCCTCCAGGAATCTAGTGAATACTCCTGTCTGTTCTCTGTTACAGGCCAAGGAAAAGTTGCGTGGAATGCCTCCCCCTGTTCCCAGTGTGGCTGGAGGGGAAATAAGACTCTACTGCATGCACCACATTTTAATTCTGATGGGAGGAAAAGCCTCCCTGTCACACACTAGTGGGAATGCATTAGAGCTCAGTATGAATCTCCACACCAGTCTGGAGTCCCATTGCCACCCAAGACCTCTCACTTCTTCAGAAAAGGGCCTCAAGGATGACCATCTAGCACAGTGCATTTTACATTTATAGAGTTTACCATGGATGCTTATTTAGCCTGGAAAGTGGAGTTGTGGGGAAGGGAGTGAAGGGGATTAAAGGAGAGGCACTCATGATGAGTCTGGGGACAGAGGACATCTTACTCTGTCTGGATACAAGAGGTCACCTAATACTGTGCCAGGCTAGAAAGCCTCTCTGGAGCCCCTGTCCATGGCATGCTAGTAAGTTTAAGAGAGCAGCAGCCTTCTGTTTGTTCCTGGTGGGGCTGCAATGCTGCCGTAATGACTCATCTCAGAGTCTTTAAAAAATGCTTTTGAATTGAGACATGCTGCTCTGACGAACACAGATTTTCAAGTACTCCCCTAGTTACCCCGGGTACCCCACCAAGGCTTTTATCTTCAGCCCCATAGCACAAACTGAGCCAACCACATGCCATTGTCAAGATGAAATATGAAAAGGAAGTACAGTTTCTCTGAGTGTGCTTGCCCCACAGAGGGGCTAAGCAGACAGGAGGCGTCTTAGAGTAAGTAACTGGCTTCCTTAGCATTTCTTCAGCTTTTGGTGACACTGCCATCCCACAGGGCTTTTCCCACAGCCTAAAAGCAGGGGGCGGTTTCATGGGAGCCACTTGTTAAATAATTGGCTCCACATCACCTATTACATTGATGGCAGGTACATGCAGAATGAATCAGAGCAGCTATTTCACTTCCTCTGTGAAATTCTATTGCAAGAGGTCTCTGTGTTAATATCGGGGGTGGGATTTAAAAGAAGCTGGCTAATGTTATGACCCATTACAACACCCATTGCTGTGTAAGTTAAAATAAGAGAAAGCAGCTGAATCCCCCACTCCAATGCACAGCCTTGCACATTTGGCCACAACCCTAACCCTGAGAGCTTTTTTCCTTCCTCCAAGACATCAGACTGGATAAAGCAATTATCTTCTTCAAAACATTACCTCCTGTATTTGGTAGGATGTGATCTTCCTGCCTGCCCTGGGACTGGCCAGTCAGTCCATAACATACCACACTGCCTGCCTGAGTCCATTATCTCTGCTGTCTGATCTCAGTTTTCCCTTTAAGTAGAACAAGGCCCACTGCTACTATGAGATTATGCAAATGCAGGCCAGGTAGTGGCACTGCACAGCAAAAGGAAAGTTCTCCCCTTATTATAGAACTGTGGCTCATGAACAGTTACAGAGATTACTACGCATGGATAGGCAAAACCCACTGGGCCAAAGTCAACTGAAGTGGAAGCAAGTGCAAGTTGTGCTGCTTTTAGCCCAATTCATGTAGCCCAACTTCACTTCTCTGATGGTTCCTAGTTATCAATCAGCACATCTTCATGAAGACAACCTCAAATCACATTGTTGTCTATTTAGTCTAATGCAAGAGTGACTTTCCACACAGGTGTCACTCTGGGAAAAGGTTACTAGATATAGGTTTGTGAACTTACCTTCTTCTTCACAGTCAAGGGTTGTTCTGTAGCTAAAATAACCAGCAGCTTTTGTAAAGCACCACCCTCAATTGCTTCAATCTGAACTTTGGGATTGCTGCAGGAAAAAGCAAAACACATATTGTGAGAAGAATGAGATCAAAAGGGGAAGTCCCGTACTTTGCTGCTAGTTAGTTTCTAAACAAGCTTTTTAATGGTTAGGAAGTAAGTTTCAAAATCTATTGCAAGACATGAATGAATGTAAACTAAATAGTCCAAAACTTCTGCCTCAACTTCTCTCACTGTCAAAATCTAATTTATGTCTAAGAAGGTGACACCTGTTGGTGAAAACTGGTATTGTTCCAGGTGCCTTGTATATAATAACCCCTGGCCCAGACGTTTCTAGCTAGAGTGGAGGAAGTACTTGGCAACCGCCAAAGGGCTCTTCAAACAGGTAGGGTCACTTGAATTTGAGCTATGTATTTCAAGACCTTCATGTCAAGCAGGAAATGCTGTTGCTCTTTCCCAGTTGGACTGAAAGCTCCCCTCAAATGTGCACATGCCCAATTGATTGTTAGGACACCGGCAGCATTGCCATAGGGCTCCGGCTGTAAGCCTTTGAGGCCACCTCAGGGACTACAGGGAGGAGGGCCTGTGATGGAGGTAGTGCAATAGCCAACTGTACAGAATCTGATCCTAGTTTGAAAGCAATGATATTCCCAAAGTCAAATTCCAAGTGGCCAAACAGACATGAAAACCCTCTGACGTCTCCATGCAGCAATGTGAGAGAGAATTACCAGCACATTTAGAAACAAACTGCTGTCTCTTTTCATTTTGGTGTCATGGCTTCTGTGAATTACTTTAATTAATAACTAATTAAAGTTGAGTTATTTAATTAGGCAACTAGCACACAATTGGGCATAAGACAAAACAACAAATAGCACCTCTCCTGTGCAGTTTTCCTTGCTTCTCCCTGGGCCTTGCAGAGGCAGTGCACTTTCTAAAGGAAGGCAGTTCCCAAATACAGATGGGCCATGCCAGGAAGTGCCTTCCTTCCTTCACTTAGCTGCCATTTACTAATGGGCGTGGAGGTGCCTCATGCCCGAAGTGGTGGGCTGGTGCGTCTTGCTTTGCCACCAAACCCCATATGTCTGAATCTCAAAGTCTTCAGCTCTGCCCAGAACCGTGGGTAAGTGCTTGGCAGTTGCATCTGTACTGCAGCAGCTGTGCTGCTATTGGTACTCAACCCAGCTAAATTAAAGCCAGCTCAGGTGTATTTGTGTGAACTGCCATCACACCTTTGACTGCAGTGCAGACAGGCCCTCACGCATGGGTTTATCCTAAATGTAGATTTGTTAGGACTGCTTCTCACCCTTTAGGTTTCTATCTTTGACTAATGTGAGAGGAAGAAAGGGAAAGTTACTCTCCCAGGTTCCACTCAGGACAAATACTACAATTCTTTTCCTCCTCTTATGGAGGCAAAGGCAGAGTGCAGGGCATGGGGTCAGATTTAATATGAGGTAAGGGACTTCTGACTCCTCAGTGTGCTGTGAAGTGGGGTCAGCCAGCATCCAAGTCAGTATCAACCAACTGGCATGGTGGTGGAGGGGGCATCTCAAACCTTTACAGGGAAGGGAACATGGCTTTGTAACTTAGCTGTGCCAGCTACACAACTCTGGCTTCAGCAGGAACCATAACAAACATTTCTCGTCTGATGCCACACAACAGGCAGATAGGTGCTGAAAAGATCAGCGTAGCCAGACAATCTGAAGTGCTGGCAACACTACACAAAAGGGGCATGCTAGGCTTTCTATACTGAGTTTCCTAAATGTACTAGTGTCTCGTTAATAAGCAGCTTTCAGCCACCGCAGGTGTTAACTCAGCAAAGATCTCTCCCATTGCATCTCTTGTGTTTCATTCACACCAATTGCTCCATTAATTCTTTTCACTTTAAAACCACATCTATTCCTTAATGGCCTTTTACTTAAGTTCTCACTTTGCACCTCTCTCTTGTTCCTCAGTTTCTATTAACACACTGATTTATTTAAACACTTATCCACCATTCCACAGTCTGTAATGTGCCATCAGTCTTTCACCTCACCTGGAGAAGGGACCTTTTCTCTCTAATGCTTGCAAATGACCAGTTATGACTTAGTCTCACCCCCCCCACACAAATCTTACTTAAGGATACAAGTGGCTAAAAGCATCCCTCTACCTGTAAATTCCCAGCTCTGGACCCACAATACCCTGCTGCTTGCAGGGTCTTGGACCTAGCTAGTCTTAAACACAGAACTCTAAGCACTGGCACTCAGAAAGAGTCTTCCTCCCTCTTAACTGCTAGGTGGGGACCCCTTTCCCTACTGCTTTAAGGGGGGACAAAGAGGCTTCCTGTGGCAGAATCTGGCTCTTACTGGTCCTAGATAGTATGCCCAGCATGCTCCTTGATTTGTGTGGTATGATGTATGGATCAAAATTAATGTGCAGCAACAACCAAAGCAAGTAGTGAGGCAAGACAACAGACACAGGAGACTGGGACTTCTGATGCAAAATTTTCATTTGCAGTTCTGTCACCAATTGCTATGAAAGCTTTGGAAGTCTCAACAGCCAGCATCCCCTTGCCACATCAAAGTACTACTCAGTGTAAGGGTGGTCAAACTGGCCCTTCAATACTAGGCAGCTCACTGCGTCCATCATACAATGGGGCTAATGCTTTTGATTTGCTGAGGGGCGAAGTCAGGGTTATTCCCTGGTGAAGTGCTTTGGCTGCCTCAGGCTGCCAGGCACACTTAGTGCATAACCTCAGCAAAGAGCCTATATTTTTGGTACCCTGACACTTAAATGAACAAAGCATGTTGCCAAGCCCTGTCTATGCCCCAGCTCATGAAAAAATATTTCCTTGCTTTTCTTGCCAACTTTTCTGTTCAGGCTGTATCCTGGGCATGTGTACTCAGCCAGGGAGAGCTGAGTGATTGTGGTCTTTTTCAGTCCTGGAAGGCTTAAAAGCAGTTCTGCACCATGAATCTTCCAGGGTGAGCAGAGAAGAGTCAAAGGCCAAAGGCTTTCTTCTCAGTGAGATGGGTACTGAGAAGAAAGCATGAAGATTTGGACCTGTGTGTGTCTACTGGATCCTGAGCAGACCTCATTTCTAAGGAAAGGATTTGGTACATTCACCTTTCTCCACTTTGAAGCAGCACTTGCACTGCAGCTAGACAAAGACACCTGGTCTCTGCTACAATAAAACACTTTGAGCTCTTTTGATTACCTGAAAGCCACCAGAGCACCTAATGCCAAAAATTCAATGAAAAACTATACAGTTTGTCCAATAAAAGATTTCACCATAAGAAATCCTTGCCTTTTTTATAATTCCAGGACAACCACAGCTACAACATCACTACCAAAAATCAGACAAAAGAGACAAAGGTAAAGGGGGTCATAAAACACAGAAACACAAATGGGCTCAGGCAGGGAGAAGCATCAAATTAAAAACTGATGGCTTAATATTAGTTCATAAAAACAAGGCAAACAGAGCTGTCCCATGTCAATCTGGAGCCAAGCAAGTTGGCAGGAGGAGTTTCTGCTGGGAGACTCATGGGTGGATCAGTGTGGACTCTGCATCTCATACTGTTGCAGTGGATCCATGTTTTAGAGCCAGCAGACTCAATGTGCCAGATTCTAATTAGCAGGTTGACCTCAGCACAGAAAAACAAGGATTGTGAACGCCACTTCCCAATGGCTTTTTTTTTTATTCTTTTGCCCCTCACCTGATAGCTGTGATAGCAAAAGATGCTATTAATAGCAGGCTGCATCTTGTAGGCTGCAGCAGCAGCAAGTTGGAGCAACAGTTCCTATCCGATAAGTATAGAACTGGTGGCTTATTTTTCCAGCCCCCCTCTCCATCTGCAAAGACTGAGACTATTTGAAGGATTTGGGAGGGAAGAGAGATAGCAAATCCCTTAAGGCAAAGGTCAGCAACCTGTGGCCTGCAAAGCCATTTGATTTGGTTTATGGACACAGGACTTCAGCAGTGGGACAGACCCAGTTTAGGCACATGGTGGGTGGGCAGGTGCTAGGTCCTTAGACGTTGCCACTGCTTTTCCCAGTGGCTGCACAGGAAAAGCATCCATTGCCATGGCTTTTCCCTATGGCAACAGGGGAACAGTCTCCAGCCAGTGTCTGCAGGGAAAAATGCAAGTGCTGCTGAGGTCTCCCACCACTGTGCAGAAAAGCACCAGCTGTGGACATATGCCCCATGCAGCTGCTGGGAAAAGCAGTGGTGGCGATGGCACCTGCATCTTAACACCTGCCCGCCATAATGTCTCCCAGATGAAGGTATCAAAGCACTCTACAAATATTATGTTCCTCAGCAGCTACAGCAGGTGAGGCCTTACAAAATGAATGCACAAGTAGCCTATGGAGCTCACTGCCATGGTACAAGACATGAATTACACAAGGTGCCCACACCAGCCTGGCCCTGCGTGCTGGCTCCAGTGCATGGGGCCAGTCTGCGGGCCTGATCTGCCCTGCAGACTGGCCCTGCTCCCCTCATCCAGCCTGCAGCCTGAATGCGTTTGACATCCCTGGATTACATGAACATCAACAATTGGATAGGTAAAAACAATTAAGGTATACAACTCATCTGCTTCAGTTGCAGATCTATTAGACACTCAATTCAGCAATGCAGAGACTTCTGAGCACTTGCCTGTCCTTCAGTCTTTAACCCCAGGATCTGAATTAGCAAGCATTAGTTCTGCAAAGCTGCCTCCACAACCTGAGCAGCTGCTCTTTGGCATCAACATATGAACATTATTCTGCCTAGAAGCTTATGCAAGCTTATCTCTATGCAGCTACAAAACAAATATTCTCTATTTCACACACTGAGAAATATTCTAGTAGGTTACCTCCATAAGCTGAAGTTTTCTCCAGCCTCCAAAGAAAACACTGACTCTTCACTGAATGGAGTCTGGGAAAGAAAATGAAACCCCATTTCAATGGGAAAGCAGCTGCCAGAGCACTTGACAGGGGGTCTGGAGCTCATTTACTCTATAGAAAGGTGAGGGACAGTAAAAATCCAACCAGTATAATACACATGTAATTCCTAGAAAACTCAAAAGAATGATC